GAACCTACTGAACACTTTTACGAATTTTCTCAGAAAACTCCTTTTATTTTTAATAATTAAATTTACTTATTTTTAGTTGAAAGATAATTGCTCTAAAATATATTGTATTGGTTTCTGCCATACATCAGCATAAATCAGCCATAGGTATACCTATATATGCCTTTCTCTTTCTTGAACCTTTCTGCCACCTCTGCATTCCACTCCTCTAGGTTTTTACAGAGCCCTAGTTTGAGTTCCCAGAGTCACACAGCAAATTCCAATTGGCTGTCTATTTTACATACGATAATATATATGTTTCTGTGTTACTCTGTCCACACATCCCACCCTCTCCTTCCTGCCCCCACTGCCTGTGTCCACATAAGTCTGTTCTCTGTGTCTCCATTGCTGCCCTGCTAATAGTTTCATAAGTACCATCTTTCTGGATTCCATATTTATGTGTTGATACATGATGCTTATTTTTCTCTTTCTGACTTTCATTTTCTATAAGGCTCTAGGTTCATCTATCTCATTAGACCTGACTCAAATGCATTCCTTTTTATGGCTGAGTATATTCCATTCTATATGTGTACCACAGCTTCTTTCTCCATTCATCTGTCAACAGACATCTGGGTTGCTTCCACGTCCTAGCTATTGTAAATAGTGCTGCAGTGAACATCGGGGTACACGTGTCTTTTTCACTCAGGTTATATGCCTAGTTGTGGAATTACTGGGTCATACGGTGGTTTTATTCCTAGTTTTTAAAGGAATTTCCATAGTGACTGTATCAATTTACATTCCCACCAACAGTGCAAAAGGGTTCCCTTTTCCCCACACCCTCTCCAGCATTTATTGTATGTAGATTTTTTGATGATGGCCATTCTGACCCTTGTGAGGTGATATCTCACTGTAGTTTTGATTTGTATTTCTCTAATGAGCAATGCTGAGCATCTTTTCATGTATTTGTTAGCCATCTGTATGTCTCCTTTGGAGAAATATCTGTTTAGGTCTTTTGCCCACTTTTTGATTGGGTTGTTTTTCTGGTATTGAGTTGTATGAACTGCTTGTATATTTTTGGATATTAACTCTTTGTCAGTTGTTTCATTTGCTGTTATTTTCTCCATTCTGAGGGTTGTCTTTTCACTTTGTTTATAGTTTGCTTTGCTGTGCAAAAGCATTTAAGTTTAATTAGGTCTCACTTGTTTATTTATTTATATTTATTTCCATTATTCTGGGAGGTGGGTCATAGAGGCTCTTGCTGTGATTTTATGTCATCGAGTGTTCTGCCTGTTTTCCTCCAAAGACTTTATAGTTTCTTGTCTTTCATTGACGTCTTTAATCCATTTGTGTTTGTCTTTGCATATGGTGTTAGGAAGTGTTCTAATTTCATTCTTTTACATGCAGCTGTCCAGTTTTCCCAGCATCACTTACTGAAGAGACTGTCGTTGTCACATTGTGTATTCTTGCCTCCTTTGTCCAAAGTAAGGTACCCATAGGTGCGTGGGTTTATCTCTAGGCTTTCTATCTTCAGGAGACCCATTTTATTACCCTTCTCCCATTCTGTTAGATACAGTAACCATTAGGTTTAATGAGAACAGTAGAAGTGTGATGGCTTATGCATTAAAGAGAGGATTGAGTTTACAGACACTTACTGGAGATGCTTTATTATACACTGAAGAAGTGATTTAATCTTACTATCATTTATAAGATTTCTAACCTTCAGATAGCACCCAGATAAAACAGTGCATCATTTTGAAATACTGTTCAAGCTCAACAGGCAAAGCTCTCCTTCATATTTTATATGGGGGCAGGAGTGATGTTGCACAAGCATACCATATGATTGTTGACTTCATCTAATGGGTAGTTCCAAAAAAGAATGTAGACAGATATTTGAATGAACATTCAGTTGATTTAATCTGATTTTTAAAGCATTTCAGAGTACCAGAAAACAAAAATTTGTTTTTGAATTTTGAGAGCAGTGGATCTTATTGATCATATAATAGACCTATGTTAAATTATGTGTTAGATTCCAAAGGATGTGTGATGGTTGGAGTTATTAGCTAATATGGTTAGTAGTCTCATGATTCTAACTGAAAAGTTTCATCTCATTTGTTAGCTGTGTCTCTCTAAAATTTTCACCATTTTAAGCTCTTAGATTCTCTCTACAGTCTTTGCTTCTCTTTATAAAGTGTGACTCTGTTCTTAAATATATATATGCAAGAAGTAATTTAAAGATTGTCTTAAACTTTTGGGGATTTGTAAAATATACTAAATCCCACCTAGTGAGGCACTTTTTAATTTTAATCATATGCTGCAATGGTAAATTTAATCAGTCTCAAAAATGTAAAAAAAAAAATCTTCCCTGTGGAAAGTTTCAGGAGTAGATTTTTGCCTTTCTTTCCATAATTGGAATTCACACCGTAGATTAGCCAGTAGTCAGTGCTTTAAGGCTATGCCTTCAGCAGCTTTGTTGCTGTTACTGCTAAACCATGCCTTTAAGATGGGCTATCCTGTAGGATAGAAATCAAAGAGGCTTACTTACTATTGATCCTCCTGACAAAACTTGGGATTATTGACTCATTTTGGGGTGCTGTTTCAATTAAAGCCACTTTTCAGTATTTTAGGGTTAACTGAAATACCAAAACATTCAAAGTCACAGATGGCAATTTTTTATACACCAAGTTCATAAACAGTGTCATAGAACATTAAATTATTCAACAGAATGAACTACATGGGATTTTAAGGCTTTCTCATCAAGTTAATAATTGTGTGAAATACCACAAATACAGTAGAGAACTCTTAAATCCAAATTAGGCTTCTCAAACCTATAACTGGTTATGAACAAGTCACTTAACCTATTTATAACTGCAGTGTGGCTTTAAAAAGAAAGAAAAATTCTATTGATCTTTTTCTTCAAGTGCTGTGTACCTCTAACATGGCTTTCAGAAGACCTCATTTTTTATTTCAGAAGAGCCAGGAGGCCATCACATAAGGATTAGTTTCTTCTTCCTCTTATACTTGTTTATCTTTATTAATATCACACGATATCTTCAGTTATTTTGACTTAACTTTAATAACTAGAAAACAGAAATAATTACTGACATTTACTAATAATTAATAATTCCAGGCGTTCCAGGTGTTCTGTGTCTTCTACATATTAGTTAGCACTTTGACCCTTCAGCAGCTCCTTGAGGTCAGTACAGCCACTTTTGTCAGTTTTGCAGATGAGGACGGAAACTGAACTAGAGAGGCAGAAGACTTCAGGGCTGCGTGGGAAATACACACTAAATCATAGATCTGCACTCAGCTAATCTCACTCTCGGAGCCTCTCCTACCACCCATGCCGTAATTCTAATCCCAGCCTAAATTGTGCTCATCCTTGCTCGTGCTTTTCTCTGTGTCCTCTCACAGACAGTGTTACTGTCTTTCAGTGGTTCTATGCTAGAATATTTAGCATATTTCTTTTTGAAGGGCCACATGTTATGAACTAATTAATTAGTCAACATCTGGGCTTAAATCTTAACTCTGCCTACCACTTAGTTTACTTTGTGATATTGGGCAAGTTGCTTTCTGCATCTTTAAAATGGGTCAGTATGTGCCTTCCAGAATTATTTTATAATGGTTGAAAAGGGTTAACAAAAGGTATAACATAATGCTTGCTGCATGGTAAGCATCTGTGAGATCCACACCCCCGTGGGCTGTGAGGGATTTTTTGAGTGCTACAGATTATGTGAGACTAGAAGATCGTCTTTTGTTAGATGTTTTAGCAAGGTGTCTCTGGGAAGTACCTGCTATCCTCATCTAATCAGTGTAACACACTCAGCATGTGGATGTGTCAGGCCTCCCTAGGGTCTGTTGTTTAGAAACAGTTTTAAAGTCTGTATTTTGTTACTACTGAGTGTTGGTGTTTACTGGAGGATTTCTTTTTACAGTGGTCTTTAGTAGGTCAGGAAGCAACAGTTAGAACTGGACATGGAACAACAGACTGGTTCCAAATAGCAAAAGGAGTATGTCAAGGCTGTATATTGTCACCCTGCTTATTTAACTTCTATGCAGAGTACATCATGAGAAATGCTGGGCTGGAAGAAGCACAAGCTGGAATCAAGATTGCCGGGAGAAATATCAATAACCTCAGATATGGAGAAGACACAACCGTTATGGAAGAGAGTGAAGAGGAACTAAAAAGCCTTTTGATGAAAGTGAAAGAGGAGAGTGAAAAAGTTGGCTTAAAGCTTAACATTCAGAAAACTAAGATCATGGCTTCTGGTCCCATCACTTCTGGGAAAATAGATGGGGAGACAGTGGAAACAGTGTCAGACTTCATTTTTTGGGGCTCCAAAATCACTGCAGATGGTGATTGCAGCCATGAAATTAAAAGACGCTTACTCCTTGGAAGGAAAGTTATGACCAACCTAGATAGCATATTAAAAAGCAGAGACATCACTTTGCCAACAAAGGTCCGTCTGGTCAAGGCTATGGTTTTTCCAGTGGTCATGTATGCATGTGAGAGTTGGACTGTGAAGAAAGCTGAGTGCCGAAAAATTGATGCTTTTGAACTGTGGTGTTGGAGAAGACTCTTGAGAGTCCCTTGGATGGCAAGGAGATCCAACCAGTCCATCCTAAAGGAGATCAGTCCTGGGTATTCACTGCAAGGACTGATGCTGAAGCTGAAACTCCAGTACTTTGGCCACCTGATGTGAAGAGTTGACTCATTGGAAAAGACCCTGATGCTGGGAGGGATTGGGGGCAGGAGGAGAAGGGGACGACAGAGGATGAGATGGCTGGATGGCATCACCGACTCGATGGGCATGAGTTTGAGTGAACTCCGGGAGTTGGTGAGGGACAGGGAGGCCTGGCGTGCTGCGATTCATGGGGTCGCAAAGAGTCGGACACGACTGAGCGACTGAACTGAACTGAACTTAGTAGGGTTGAAGTATAAGTCATAAAGGAGGTTTCGTGGTATCTAAAATACTGTGGAGTGTGTCATATAGCCTATTTAATTTTTTTTTTCTTATTTCTTCTAGAAAATTTGGTGAGCGGCCTCCACCTAAACGACTCACTAGGTAAGCATGATATTAGTCTTTTACCCAAACATTTTATGAAAGTGTTAGATCCTGTCATTTTGGAAACTGTTAGGTTTTATTGAAAAGAAGTTACTTACATAATGGTATCTAGATCGTAAGCCTATTTCCATCTTCCTTCCTTGTATCACCCCCTTTTCTCTCCTACATAAAGCAAGATAAGATGATACAGTTCAAAGGGAAAATGAAACCTTTCAAGAGTTAATACTGAATATTATATAGTTAATGTAACAAGGACTACAGCATAAAGATGGTTTCCTTTATCTAGTTTCATTAGCCAATCACAGTTTGTTGATTACAGCTGGGACTTGAAAGATACTTAAATGCTTTTAGAAAGAATTTTAGAACAGATTTTATACATTTTAATGAGACTATAAATATTATACTGTTCTAATTATATAATTTTTACAGTGTACATTTTAATTACACATTAAATTTAAGTGTTAGTCTTGAAAATACTTTAAAAAATTTCTGATAGCCAGTGATTAGAAAATAAAAAGTAAGATGCTCAGTTCCACAGCTATAGTCCTGGAGTTAATGCTACCCTGCCTTGTTAATATCTTTCAAGAAAAGTATATACATGTGTAAACAGAGACTTGTCTTTTTTTTTTTCTTTTTAAAGTCTAGCATCATACTCTACCATTGTTCTGTTAATTGTAGATCTTCTACCTTGCTCTCTCTAGTGTCTTCATAATTTTTCATTGTCTTGCCACCAGTCTTTATTTACTTCACACAGATGGCCATTTGGGTCATTTCCACATTGTTGCCATTATTTAAAAAGCTGTTTCACTCAAAGAATGATGGGGACGTGCCAGAAGGATGCACAAAGGGAGCTAGTTTGAAGAGGCTTCTTTTAGCCACATCATGGACACTTTGGTCATCAAAATAAATAATGACAATAGTAGATTAAAACCCATAAAATAAAACGACAGTTTAGAAGTCTACACTGAGTTAAATAATTAAATAAATAGAGGAAAGGAGATAGCTTCCCTTTACAGAAGAATTCCACCTAATAAATGTAGAAGAAATGATGAAACTAGGAAACCACACATTGGCAACCACTACAGTGATCATCATTTCATGCTGACGTCATCAGTGAATGTTTAAACTACTGGTTTAAAGTCTGATGAGAAACAGGCTTTTTTATAGTGTACAAGCATATCTCACAAAATATGTGTTAACTATAAAGACAACAATAGTAACATGACAGTGAGGAAATCTGACAGACGCCACCTTAATTAAATGTTCTAAATTAACATCACCAATAATGGACAAATAAATTCCACATGCATCATGAAGAATCACAGTATAACTTTTGTGTGATTCTTGCCAAAAATGCATAAGCTGAAATCTCAGCTTAAGGAAACCGTCAGCCAGCCATAGATGGAAGGACATCCTATAAAGTAAACAGCATTTACTCTTCAAAGTGTTTAAGATTATGAAAAATAAAGACTGCAGAGTACCAGAGTAAAGGAACCCCAAAGGTCACAACAGCTAGGCTACACATGACAGACTTAACTAAACTGGACCAGGAACAAATTTTTCTTTTGCTCTAAGGATGGAGTTGCCAAACATTTTCTCTAATGGATTGAATAAAGTGTTAGGCTCTTTGGGTCTCCCTGAGTTTGTTGTGACTTTTCAGCTCTGTTCTTGTGTCCCCAAATCAGCCATAGACAATATGTAAATGAGTGGTGTGTCCATGTTCCAGCTCAGCTTAATTAAAATAGCAGACAAAATGGAGACTATCCTGATTTGTCCTGAGTTCAGAGTTTCTCAACACTGCTTCACACTTCCGCCCCCCAGTAAAGAATATTAGAGGGACAGTTGGAAACATCTGAATAAAAATCTATTGTGGAAGTATTGTATCAGTCATAATTGCATTGTGATTGTATAAGACAATGTTTTTTGGCAGTAAACACAAGTATTTTGGGTAAAGTGGTTTTATGTCTATAATATGCTCTTAAATGGTTTTAAAAGCATAATATAAAAATATGGTAAAATGTTAACATTTGCTAGTCTGAGGGAAATGGAGACTAGGAATTGTTTGTACTACTTTTGTAACTTTATGTCTGAAATTCAAAATTTAAAAATATTTTTAAGGCATATTTCAGATCAAGTGGGTTGGGAAAATATAACTTACGTCACAGGTCCATCTGAAACCTTGCTAGGAAGAAAAGGACAGTGGAACAAGAGTGTTAAAGTTCTCAAGGGGGAAAAATATGGCAACCTAGAATTCTAGACCCAGCAAAGGCAAAAACAAAGACAGTTTTTGACATAAGAAACTGAAAAGGAATCAATCATAAACAGGCTTGAACTGTAAGAAGTGCTAAAGAAATCCTTCATGCAGAATGATAAGGAATTTTGTATCTCTGGGAGTGTATGGAAGTTGGACAGTTTAATTCAGAATTTCTTTCTTTAAAAAAAAAATAATCTTTTAAACCTACCCTATTCTAATCCCTGTCTTCCAAGTTAAGCAGTAGTTTAAAAAGTATGTTGTTATTTAGAGAATGATCTTTTAGATAGTGTTCTAAAAGTACTGTTTTACTGATACAGAGTTAATATTTTTGATTAAGTATAGTTAATACTATGTACTGTTCAGCATTTCACTTTTTAAAAATACTACATTCTTCTGGATATATAGATGAGTAGATATGGTAGGAATTGAATGCTAACTTTCAAGGGCATCCCAGTCTCTTGAAAATATCCCCTTAATGTGGATCACAGGTATAACTGACTTTACTTAACTGTGGATTAAAAACACAGAATAACCAGGTTTTATACTGAGATACAGAAACAACTGGCGTGGTTTTCTGTGGCCTGTAGTCAGTTCAGTTCAGTTGCTCAGTCATGTCCGACTCTTTGCAACCCCATGGACTGCAGCATGCCAGGCCTCCCAGTTTTTCTCAAAATATACTCTGCAGCTCTCTGAAATGTTTGCAGGTGTTGGGTGTATGTGTGGAATTATTTAATGCAACAAAAATACGTTTCTTTACCAGCAGACAGTTCATGTTGGAACCTTTATTATTTGGATTTTACAAGTGACAAAAATCCAATTTGCGGAGTGCAGAGACTGATCCCATTGGTAAGGGTGACAGTTTAGACCTTCCATCTTGGTGGGCCGCTTTTCTCCTTGAGTATTTGGGATTGGCTCTGGTTAGTTCCCAGCTCAAATGCCTTCCCCAGAGTCCCCAGCCCCCAACCCATACACACACACACACACACACACACACACGTACGTGCATGCGTGTGGTTTAAATCACTTACGCACCCTTTGGCGCAGTCATGGCGGCTTAACTGAATATGGTGAGGAAGTAAGGGTGCTATTTTCAGATGATTAGGAGTTAGCACCATTAAGGACATTCTTTTTCGAATTTTGCGCGATATAAAAGAAGTACACATTTGTAAAGGAAAAAAGAGGCGGAAGGTTGACAAAATGATAGTTTAACCATGTCAAATTATAACAGCATTTGCCATGATTTCATGTTAGTAAAAATATTGATAAAAATTTCTGCTTTTCTAAATATTTAAGCTGAATGTGTTTTAAGTAAGTAAACTCAAAAATAGTTGCTCCATGCTCTTCTTCAAATAATTTTTAATTGGCTTCCATTCAGAATGAATATTTTATAAGGAATTATGGAATGAAATAAAGAATACATAAACTTCAGAACTTGTTAAATAGTAACTGTTATAACAGATTATGAGTTTCAGCTTTATTGTTACTGTTTTTTTTTTTTTTTTAACTAATTCCAGTAATACAAAGTAGTTATTCTACTGGTAAGGTTCTTAGAGCACCTATATTGTTTTCAAATGATAAAATTTCCCTCATTCTTTCTTCAAAAGACATTGGATGATTTTCTCATCTTCCTGTTGGAAGGAACAATTTTGGTTTTCTTTAATCCACTTTTTTTCAGGCCAGGTGAATTGCCCCACCCCTCTGATATTTGGCAATATCTGGAGACATTTTTGGTTGTCACAAATGGAGGAAAGGTGCTATTGGCTTCTAATTGGTAGACGTTAGAGATACTGCTAAACACCCTTCAATGTACTGCACAGCCCCCTCACAATAGAGAATTGTTTAACCCAGGATGTCAACAGTGCCTAAATTGAAACCCTGTTCATTTGAAGAAACTCTACTCTGTTTGAGTGAAGAGCATATGGGCTATCACTTCATGGGCTTCACTTTTTAATTGTGTTTGAGTATATTGCCTTAATTTTTTATAGTGGCTCTTTAAGATTTCAAAATAGAACTATCAACCTACAATTGCCAGAGAACATAATTTTAGTGTTTGATATTCTATTAACAAACTGGTGTTTTTCTTGTTGAAGAAGCTATTTGTTAAATTGTTGTTACAGAACAACTATTATTAAAGTTTTCAGTTGCTTTTTCAAGAATTTGTATTGTAAATATGAAGGGAAAAGACAAGGAAAACTGGTGCTGTCTTGCATTCATCATAAATATGTTAAGATCTGTACTCTTGTCATGATGATATTGTAAACAGTTACTTCCAATACGAGCAGCTAGCATGATAACCAGTGCCTGGGAGGTAATGGGCTCTCAATAAATCTTTAATGGGAAGATGGATAAAAGTGTAGCTTACCTGTTATGCTTGCAAAACTCGTGCCTTGCAAGTCGGGTGAAACACCTGATCCTTTACCTCCTGGTCCTTTTCAAGTTTTCCGTCAAACTTAAGTGGCAGTCTTCCAACCTCTACCTCCTGCCCCCTTCCTCCTGCTCTTCTAAGAAAATAATAATAATAGGTAGTGTTTCCTGACCCTTGATATTTGTCAGTTTGTGGGGATACTTAATTTAAAATATTTTTCACAATGTGAGCTGTTAATGTCATTTTTTTTAAACAGGTGAGAAAACTCAGGCTTAGTAATTGATAAGAGTTAAGATTCAGACCCCTGTTTCATACCAAAACTGGGCTCATAACCAGTGCAAAATATCTAATAATATTGATTTTGTCTTCAAGGGCCAGACTGCCTAAGTTTGAATCTGGAGACTTCAGTGTCATGTTGGAAAGTTACTTAACTGTTCCTCCATTTCTAAAATGTGCCTAATAGTGTGTCTTAGAGGCTTTGCATACTGTTTGGGATGACAAGGAGAAAGCCCCGACATCTGACACGCTAAGTAATTATGAAATGATATAACAGGGACTATAATGCAAGTAGAATTCAGTGTGGGGAGATATATTTGAAATTGTTTCTTAAAAAATTATTTTCAAGTATATTGCAACTATTCACATTTTATGCTAGTGACTGGACTTCTGTGTCAGTTTTGTCAAGATACTGACCTTCTGGCTTGGCTTTTGTTTCCTTATCCCCCTTGCACACTGGTCAGTCACGTGACTTAGTAGCCCCTCAGATGCTGCACTATCCTTATCCTCTCCACGCCACACCACTTGTCCACTGCCCAGCAGGTTTGAGAATGTGCTGTATTCCCTTGGAATGTTAGCGGGAATTGTCACTGTCATTTATGAATTTCAACATCAACCAGTCCTTCAATACAGATTTTCAATCATTTACATTGTCAGCTTCTTTCTCCATTCTCTAGAGAGTATTTTCAAGTATCAGTAGTACCCATGGCCGCCTTCTTACCTGTTAGGCATCACAGAAGGCTCTCATTTTACAGAAATTGGTAAGGCTGTTAGCTGGTGGCTGACTTCATGGTAAAATTAAAGAGACTTACACCTCTGCAGCATCTCACTCTTGATTGTAACCTTCTTTTGAGGTTGTCTCCTGCCTTAGCATCTAATAGACAGTTTCAGTTCTACCCTTACTGGTTCTTCTTCATTTCCTTTTATACGTTTTCTTCTTGACATTCCTATCACTGTGTTTTCTTTCTGAGAGATTTTGTTCACCTCCATGTCTTTGGATGTGAGCTATATTCCAATGAACCCCACTTTTCCAGCCCAGACCCTTCTCTGAAACTACAGGTGGTTATTTCCAACAACATATTGAATACTTCCAGCTTGGAGTTCTGGGGCATTTCAGAGTTGACGTTTGTCAAATATAATGGAACTCATTACACACTTGCCTTTCCTGAAGCAGAAGTCTTAAAAGTTGCCTTCTCCTGTACTGTCTTCTGTTACTCTGTCTTAGTGTGTCAGCCTTATTTCAAGTTTCCTCTGTGCTTTCTTAAGTCCTTTCCCTATTTCACCACTGGAATTAACTAAAAAAGAAAGTTGACTGTATGTCTTAAAAAAAAAAAACAAACCTCAAGATCTCAGGTTGCCTTTTGTGTACATTGAAAATCCAGATTCCACAGCATGGCGCTTTTATTTTGATTGATTTTATTTCTTTAGTTTTACCTTGTGAGATCTTCAATCTTCATTACTGCATGTGGGATCTTTTTTTAAGTTGCCTGCATGCAAAGTCTTAGTTGCAGCATGTTGGATCTAATTCTGTGACCAGGGATCAAACTCCGACCCCCTCCTTTGGGGTGGCAGAGTCTTAGCCGCTGGACCACCAGGGAAATCACAGCATGGTGTTTTTTTGGTAATGGGGTTCGGTGGCTCAGATGGTAAAGAATCTGCCTGCAATGTGGGAGACCCAAGTTCTATCCCTGGGTTGGAAAGATCCCCTGGAGAAGGAAATGGCAACCCATTCCAGTATTCTTGCCTGGAAAATTCCATGGACAGTGTAGCCTGGTGGGCTGCAGTCCATGGGGTTTCAAAGAGTTGAACAGGACTGAGCAACTAACACTTTCACTTTGGGATAAAATTAAATAACAATCTTTCCCCAGTTTCAAAGAGATGGAATTTTTTAAGATTTTAAATTTTTTTCTAGGTATTTTAAGAATTTTATTACCTGCTATTGCTTTTATCATCATCTGTCATAGGGTGGTATTTGAATTAACTTTTATATTTAGTATTTCTTTTTTTTTTTAAGGTTTATTTATTTTTGGCTGTGCTGGGTCTTTGTTGCTGCACATGCTTTTCTCTCTAGCTGCGGCAAGTGGGGACTCTTCATTGCAGTGCACAGGCTTCTCTTTACCTCGGCTTCTCTAGTTGGGGAGCACGGTCTCAGGGCACATAGGCTTCAGTACTTGCAGCACGTGTCAATGGTTGTGGCTCAAGGGCCCTAGAGCGAGGGCGCAGTAGTTGTGGCGCATGCGCTTGGTCACTCCGCAGCACAGCGGGATCTTCCGGACCAGGGATGATTCAGGGTCCTTTATTACCTCTGCCCTCCTTTACATAGGTACTCCCTATTGGAACTTTTTGGTCATACCTCTATTTGACCTATGTATTTCATTACAATTTGTTTTCCAAGTGTTTTACTGTCTTTACTGGACTTTGAGCTTTGTTCCTGTGGTAAGGATTAATTCTTAATTTATTAGATTCCAGTGTTACCTTTTCTGCCTTGAATTAGTAAATATAAACACTGTCATCTAGATTATCTCATTTACCCACAACCACCCTATTATTATGTCAGCATTATTCTTATTACCAGAATCAGAAACCAAGCTAGATGAGGTTAAGAGATACGCCCCAGGCCACTTCTATTCTGAGTGCTGCAAGTGTGAATTCCCCACGATTGGTAACTCACTGCTATTCTATAGGCATGCCTAGTCGCTCAGCCCGGAAAGAGTCTGCCTGCAATGTGGGAGACCCACCTTCAGTCCCGGGGTCGGGAAGATCCCCTGGAGAAGGAAATGGCAACCCACTCCAGTACTCTTGCCTGGAGAATCCCAAGGGCAGAGGAGCCGGGCGGTCCATGGGGTAGCACAGATTCAGACACAGCTGGGCAACTCACTCTTTCACTTCACTGTCCATTAATCTACAGCCACCCTCTTGTACATTTGTCTTTTTACTTATAAATAAAACAGTACTCAGTTTATTAAAAGTGCTTCTTGATGATTGTTTTTGAAGCCCTTTTGCTTTAATTTTGTAATGTGTTTTAATTTTGTAATGTGTTAAACCTCTTAAGAATTAGGATTCTACTGATTAAGATATGTGAAAGTTTGATCTGTGTAGACCTTGGGTTCTTTGTATTCTATTGTATTGCTTGGCAAAATAATTGATAAATATTTTTAAGACATTGAACTTTTTATACAGCATTTGCGTAATAAATGGATAGTTGGAGTACTTTATACCTGAAACAATTAACATTGTATTTTTCCAAAGTTTGTTTTTCCCTAATTTGAATTACCCTTTATTAAACTTTGTGTTTAGTAACACCGTTGAGAGTAATTATGAGTTTGTATATAAATGATAGCCCTTTCTTCCTCCTTTTGTAGGGTTGTTATTTTAAGAACATGTAATAATAAATTTAGATGACCTGAGGATTTCTTATGGTTTTGTATTTGGTGAAAAACACTCATTCTAATAGCTGGAGGAGAGGGGCTAGTCTTAGTGGTGAATTAGATTGTTAAATACAAAAGTATTGCACATGATTAATTTTACAAAGGGTTTAAAGCCTAATAAACAATGTACTTGATGTTTCTAGTTACTCTATAAATTGTAATTGCTGTTTAATTGAATTATGTCATAAATTCCTATAGTGAGGGACAGTTTCTTCTTTTCAGAGAACAAAGTATACTGTTGAAGATGAGCAGTATTTATTTCCTCATTGTATAATATTTTTAAAATTTAGTTATGGTTTGTTTTGCTTTATTTTCATTTTTAGATTTACTTGTTTGAAATGTTTTTAAGCATTCTTTTTACAGAATATAGTAATATTCCAAATCTTACCCCTATAATAGTAAATATTTATATTTTATTTTAGGGAAGCTATGCGAAATTATTTAAAAGAGCGAGGGGATCAAACAGTGCTTATTCTTCATGCAAAAGTTGCACAGAAGTCATACGGAAATGAAAAAAGGTAAGATTATTTTTTCTGGTGGATAGTTAATTAATAGTTATCACATGAATTTGCAAATGATGTATTGGTATGCAAGTAAGAGAATGGTTCTATTATTGGGTTATTTGCAAGTACAAAGTGAAAAGTACAGGATTTGTCTCTACTGTCTCTATTTAGTACAGATCCTCTGGCTAAATCCCTGATTTCACAAAATGAAATAATCCATAATTTTTATTCAGGACTGCGTGGTGTTCCCTAAGTACTTCTGTGGTACATTAGATCATTCAAAAAATAATTTTCGTTTTGGTGCAAAATGTAGAAATAAAGAAATATGACCTCAGTATTATCATTTTAAAAAGAAAAAGGCTTAACCAAACCCCAGAATTGAATTATGGAGTGGTTGTGAAGAAAAGTACTCCCAGCCCTTTCCACCGTGGCTGTGTGCCTGTTCAGGTTAAGGGAAAAACAGCAGAGTGGATACCATGTGAATGTGGCATTACAGAAATGACCTATAAATCAGATTAGCCAAAATTAGATTATAACATTTTAATATTTAGTGTTTACCTTAGTATCTTTTAAATTTCAGCATTTTTGGTGTTACTTGTGGGTTTTTGTTACTTGCTTTTTCACTTAGTTCCTAGAATTTTCCTGTTAATAGTTTCTCAAGTCTTTGTCTTTCAGATAGCATTTTTATGTTAAGCATAAAATAACATGCTTTGGTGGACAAGGCTGCTTATGGAGGAACATGAAAGATTTTTTGGGTTGGCTTGAAAGGTAATAAAACTAAACTGGAAGAAGGAATGAAAACTCAGGTTTAAATATTGGATTGAAAGGAATGAGTGGAGTCTTTGTGAGTCCACAAAATCTTTGTGAGTTTGTGAGATAAAGGAAATCTTAGCATATGCATAAGAGAAAGGAAATGGAGTACATTGATTTAATGTGCTAAAAAAATTTTAAATAGTCTGTTTCTCAATGTCCTCTAAATCTGAGCTGAAACTATTTAGTTGATAATGTTATCATCAAAGAGGATGAGAGCTGAAAACAGTATTTAGGACTCATATTGTCAAGTGTTCTTTTTTAGTTATTCAAGTTCTCTAAATTTCTGATTACTCATGAAACTTAATCATCTGATTCAAATATTAGAAGTTGGTACCTATGGTTTGGGACATAGAAACCAAATCAAGATAATGGCCCTTTTTTGCATGAAGTTGATACTGGATATTCAGGTCTCCCTGCCCCATGACGTCATGTAAATATAGGAGACGGTCTTTTTTTTTTTTTTTTTTTAACTCCTAAGCAAAACAAACTAAGTTAGTACCTTCGTTACTTGAGATGGATCTCAAGGCCAGTGTTGCACCTCATAGTGAGACTGAAGGAGGAACAGCTTCCCTTTATCCAGTCATGATCTATAGACATTGTTCAGGAAATGTCTTACAGATGTTTTAAAGTTTTAATCCTTAGAAGAATCTTGTAAATAGGAATGCATTAGTGAGGAAACAAAAGATCAGAGACAATGGGATCTTAGACGATAGAATAGAAAATACTAGAGATCTCTTCAAGAAAATTGGAGATATCAAGGGAGCATTTCATGCAAGGATGGGCATATTAAAGGACGGAAATAGTAAGGACCTATCAGAAGCAAAAGAGATTAAGAAGAGTTGACGAGAATACACAGAAAAACCATACAAAAAAGGTCTTAATGACCTGGATAGCCACAATGATGTGGTCATTCACCTAGAATTGGACATCCTAGAGTATGAAGTTAAGTGGGTCTTAGGAAGCATTGCTGTGAACAAAGCTAGAGGTGGAGTTGATGGAATGAAGCTGAGCTGTTTAAAATCCGAAAAGAACATCTTCTTTTAAAGGGTTGTGCTCAGTATGTTAGCAAATTTGGAAAACTCAGCAGTGGCCACAGGACTGGAAAAGATGAGTTTCATTCCAGTCTCATAGAAGGGCAATGCCAAAGAATGCTCAAAACTATCATACAGTTGCTCTCATTGCACATGCTATATAGCAAGGTTATGCTCAAAATCCTTCAAGCTAGTCTTCAGCACTACGTGAACTGAGAACGTCTAGATGTACAAGCTGTGTTCCAAAGAAGCAAAGGAACCAGAGATAAATTGCCAATATTCGTTGGATTGTGGAGAAAGCAAGGAAGTTCCAGAAAAACATCTGCTTCTGCTTCATTGACTATGCTAAAACCTTTGACTGTGTGGATCACAACAAACTGGAAAATTCTTAAGGAGATGGGATTACCAGACCGCCTTACCTGTCTCTTGAGAAACCTGTGTGTGAATCAAGAAGCAACAGTTAGAACTGGACATGGGATAATGGACTGGTTCAAAATTGGGAAAGGAGTATGTCAAAGCTGTATATTGTCATCCTGGTTATTTAACTTTTATGCAGAGTACATCATGCGAAATGCTGGGCTTGATGACTCACAAGCTGGAATCAAGATTGTCAGGAGAAATATCAACAACTTCACATATGCAGATGATATCACGGTAATGGCAAAAAGTAAAGAGGAACTAAAGAGCCTCTTGATGAAGGTGAAAGAGGAGAGTGAAAAAACGGGCTTGAATCTTAGTATTAAAAAACTAAGATCATAACATCTGGTCCTATCACTTGATGGGAAATAGAAGGGGAAAAAGTGGAAGTGGTGACAGATTTTATTTTCTTGGGTTCCAAAATCACTGCAGACTGACTGCAACCATGAAATTAAAAGATGCTTGTTCCTTGGAAGAAAAGCTGTGACAAACCTAGACAGCCAGCATATTCTGAGAGATTGACCATAAAAAAGGCTGAGTGCCGAATTGATTCTTTTGTATTGTGATACTGGAGAAGCCTCTTGAGAGTCCCTTGGGCTACAAGGAGATCAAAACAGTCAGTCCTATAGGAAATCAGTCCTGAATGTTCATTGGAAGGGTTGATGCTAACGGTCAAGCTCCAGTACTCTGGCCACCTGACTCATAGGAAAAGACTGATGCTGGGAAAGATTGAGGGCAGGAGAAGAAGGGGTTGACAGAGGATGAGATGATTGGGTGGCATCACCGACTCAATGGACGTGAATTTGAGCAAATGCCAAGAGATAGTGAAATACAGAGGATCCTGGTGTGCTGCAGTCCATGGGGTTGCAGAGAGTCGGACATGACTTAGTGACTGAACAACAACAGTGAAAATAGGAATAATTTAACAAGCTCATTATATAGCTGCTCACCTGGGCAGTGTTGTTTTCCCTCTCCCCACCCATGGATTTTTGAAGATCCATTTTAGTACGTTTTGATTTATTTATTAACTCTTTATTTCTGACAACCTGTTAGATTCCAAGTACTATGCAAAAGGCTCTTTAAGCCAAGAGTTTTAAAAGTTGCTATGTCATTCAATACTGAAGTGGGTAACTGAGACCTGGTGGAGATACAAACAGGGAAGAGCTTCTCAAAGTCCCAGACAAGATTCCTATTTGCTAGTCACTGTTAAAAATATAAAGCTATAGTGGCTTACAAGTTAAAATAGGTGATTATCTTTTATTATGATTGCATTTATTTTCAATTTCTATTATTTGGGTATTGCTTAGTGGATCTAAAAACCTCAGTGAAAGGAAAGATCAAGGAATCTAAGCTTCTGACTCCAAAAAATGAAAAGATTAAAAAAAAAAAATGCCAGAGTAACTACTTTCTTATATTTACTGTGTTATTAACATTTCCAGAAGAGACATGGCATTAGTTTTACAGTAAAGGCAAAATCTTCTAAAAATTACTGATTTTTAAAAAGTATTAGTTAGTAGTCAGGGGCTGCTAACAGAGGCCAGTCTCCTGGGTGATTGTCAGGGCTTCTTACTGGAAGAGATCTTGTCCCTTACTGCTTGGTAGAGTGTAGTAGAAAGAGGAAGATCTGCTTTCTTTCTTGTTGATCAGATTCAGGCCTTTCTGAAAAGCTGCTAAGTTTAGGCATGAGGTAACCTGGGGACATGACCACAGTCTTCTTGGCTTACAAAATAATTCCAGTGAATGATGCTAGAAATATTTGAGCAGGAAGTTTTATCCTAAAATTTAAATTGTTCTGAGAATTCACTTTTGTGCCTAATAAGGAATATTTCTTTGCTTAATACATTTGGTATCCCACTTATGTTAGTGGTTAGTTTTAACCTTTCATGAAGACGTTCTTTACAAGATTGAAAAATAAACTTTAAAAGTTATTTTGTCTAAAGGAAAATTTCCATTAATATGGAAATGCCATTTGATGTATTAGCATTTCTTCAACTTTGTGTTGGGGAAGTATGAATAATTATCAGGGGTAATGATTCTGCCAAAATAGTCAGATAATGTAAATGATGTGTTTAGATTTTGTCTAATATTATGTATTGGGCTGAATAAAAAGACTTCTTTGAATCTGTAAGGTATTTTCCAGACCTCATCTTATGATTTGAGGGAAAAGTTGTTGAATCATTCTCTGAAAATAAAGACTGATTGTTTGACTTAGGAAATGAATAAAATCATAAATGTGTGCATATCGCCACCAAGTGGTAGATAAAAGCATTGTGTGCCTAAGTTGCTTAGATGGAGCTCCTGGGAAAGATGAGAAAATAAAGGCACATTGTTTCATAAAATGTGCTTTCATAGCAACTGTTAAACTCCCAAAGCTGACCACTTGATTTCAGACTTCTCACTAATTGTTTGGTACACATTAACCATCTGTCCAAGTTAAAAACATCGATTCACATACTACTATAAAGGTATATAGTTAAATTTTTCTTCTGTTAATTAGGTGATATTCTTTCCTTCCCTTCCTTCCTTTAATTTCTTTCCATTTGTCTGTAATTTTTTAATTGATGATTATCTTTTTGATTATTATATTACTGCAGAAGTCTCTGGAAATGAAGATTTGATTCATTAGCTGATTTTTTAGGGGGTGGCAATATTGGGATGTTTAAAATGTGATTTCATCATCACATAGAAATGAGATAATCTTAATGTTTATATTGGATCTGCTACTTTCTTGCATCACAGCTTTTTTTTGAAGTAGTTGTAGAGTTGATATGAAACTAAGACTAGTTTAGAGACAGTTGAAGACTCTTCATTTTTCTTAGATTTATTACATGACTGGAAAGCACTTTCAGTATAGAACCTTAGTCAGTGTTGTAAGTGATAAAGAATTTCTTGACAATCTTTCTGATTTTATGCCCTGTTGATTTCATACCACTTCATCGCAGTACTTTTGAGAAAACCTGCACTGCTGAGTCGTTTGGGCTTTTTTCGTGGCTCAGCTGGTAAAGAAGCCGCCTGCAGTGTGGGGGACCTGTGTTCCATCCCTGGGTTGGGAAGATCCCCTTGAGAAGGGAACAGCTACCCACTCCAGTATTCTGGCCTGGAGAATTCCGTGGACTGTGTAGTCTATGGGGTCGCACGAGTTGGACACGACTGAGCGACTTTCATTTTCTTTTTCACTTTCACTGAGTCTTTAACAGTTTTAGACCTCTTTCTAGATGTGAAATTAAAGTATCTTCTGTGATAATTTGTTGGGATTTGATTACTATATTTGGTACACTACACTAAACGCAGCAAGTTTTATAGCTGGTATACCAGTTTACTAAGGAGACCTAGTTATTTGTCAGTGCTCAATAAAATACTAATAGGAGATAAGTTTTCCAAAATTGATGGCTTCTCAGCTTCCTAGTAGTGTGCCAGGTAGGAATTTGAGTCTGTGCCATGGTAAGTATTGGGTGGTTCCCAGCATTAGAGGCCAGAGAGATCCCTGGTATAGACTTGAATGAGCAAATTCCAGAACTTGCCCAGCTAATCTAGGCATCCCTCCAAATTTGGAGTGACCTGGAGCTGAGCCCAGTGCCCCCGCTGTGACCTCTGTGCTCATGGCCACAAGGAGAGTATCCAGGCAAAAAAAGCCGCTCTGATCCCCTTCTCTTCGTTCAGAAAAGCATGAGAAGACCCTCAGAAGGTTTTCCTCCTTACTCAGCCTAACCCCTTCAGGCTGCCAGGTCTGCTTCCCCAGCACCCCTGGCTTCATAGCTATGGTTCTCCTCCTCTGTACTTCAGCCACGCTGGCCTGTTGCTTCTCTGCTGTCTCTTTCAGTCCTGCCTGCTTCAGAGCTTTTGTGATTGCTATTCCCTCTTCGGAAATGCGCTTCCCCAGATACCCGTGGCTTTAGGTCCTAACTCAAGGTCACTTTCTTTAAGAAATTTTCCTTGGCCAGTCTGGTCTTTTACATTTTTAAGTACCCCTTCCTTGCTTTATTTTTTTCCCTAACCAGCTAAAGTATATATGTTATTTTAGTCACCTACATTTTAAAAATTGTCTTTCTTATTAGAGTATGAGTTCCATTAGGACAAGGATTTTTGTTTAACTACTAATATTTTTCCAGTGCCTGGTACAGACTAGGAATGTAGTAAATTTTTGTGAATTAGTGAAAATTAAATAAACCCAGCTCACTTCTTATAAATTGTGTGTAGATTACCTCTTAAGTACTAATTTGGTAGAGTGGAGCAAAATGTGGATGCCATTGTTTATTTTGATTCAATTCAGTTAATATTGTAGTAGGTGCTGAGGGGGAAGCAAACAAGTAGATACTACTCTGCTACCTTTAGGGGAGACCGAGAACTAAGTCCAGCACGATAGTGTCTGTGTCTCTCTGTGCGTGCACACACGTGTGTATGTGTGATATGCATGGATACACTTCTTTTTTTTTTTAAGTCTGTGCATTGTTGGCCTAAAAAGTGGTAAAAAAGCATAATAAATTAGCTGCTAAATTTTAGAATTAGGAATTTCATACAAAACTTGATTTCAGGTGACTATTGGAAAATTGGAGGATGTGACCAACACGCGACCTCCATGCCCTTAGTTCAGCCATATGGGAATGCTTGCAGTTCTCAGTTGCTTCCTTGTCATCAGAGCCACACACTAGTGGGTGATGATCTTTGCGGTTAAGCTTTTTTTTTTTCCTTACAGTGAACTTAAAAGAACTAAGATAGAAATTTCTATGCTTATAATTATATAAAAAGTGGGAATTGCCTTGAGGGTTTTCTGTTTCAATAAAGATGGGAAGGAACATACGTCTTTGGGTAATTAAAGAATATTTCTACTTATTTATTGTACACCCGGTCCACTCATTTAGATTACTTACCTGGCCGGTATTTGAGTTTTCAGGCCCCTAGATGAGACATGACATATTAATAAATGTTTTAAAGTGTGTATAAGTCAGTGTATAATCGAGCGAAGGAGTTACCCCCTATATAAGAACTGGATTTATGGTCTTCTGAATTAGGTAAAATGTGGGGCTTGAGCTAGACTTCAAAGTAATCTAACTGCTACGAGAAAATTATAAGGAAGTTATTCTAGGTGGGAAGAATTTGTGAGGGCAGGTTATTGGCAACTAACAAAACAAATCTGTTGGCTGTCTTTGAGTTAAAAGAACATAATATATTGTTCTTTGATCCACATGCAGCAGGTGTTTAAGTTGTAAGATACATGGTAAACTAATGATCCATTTTGCTTTTAATTCTTTTACTTGCTTGTGTTAATATTTTGGAAGTGTCTACTTTGGGCACTGCTGTGTTTTCCAGATCAGTTACCAAGTGAAGTTGAGTGATATCTGTACCAAAGATGTCATTAATTAACAGTACATCATTTTGAGTAGACTCTAAGCAGTAATTGCAGATTCTGTGGTGTTATACCCTATTTTTGTATATGTTGTAGTACAGTGGATTTTCTAAGTGCAGATGTTCAAAACTCTGCGCTGTGTGAAAATTTATGTTTCCTGATCTGAAAGTATCTAGGCTAAGTGAATGCGTAATGTCAAAATAGATGAACCTTAACCGGAACAAATGGAAGTATTGATTTCTGCGCTCTGGGTATGGTTATTTGCATTACAAAAGGCTTGACCAAAATGTTTCTTTAGGAGCTAACTTGATGTAGTTCAACATGATTTTGTATTCGTATATTCAAGGAAAGGAAGTGCTTTCTTGAGTGTAATTGCATTGTGTTTCCTCCCCCCTCATTGTTTTAGGTTTTTTTGCCCTCCTCCCTGTGTGTATCTTATGGGCAGTGGATGGAAGAAAAAAAAAGAACAAATGGAACGCGATGGTTGTTCTGAACAAGAGTCTCAACCATGTGCATTTATTGGAATAGGAAATAGTGACCAAGAAATGCAGCAACTGAACTTGGAAGGAAAGGTAAGTTAAGACTATGTTGGTTCCCGGTAAAGAGCATCACGATACCATAATGTAGTTTTCTTACTTGTTTGTGTAGTGGTGATTTTTTTTTTTCCCCCATTTTATGGTTACTGGTAGCACTTTCTTGAATATATAAATCAGAACTGGAATAACCTCAAATAGCTGAGATCTAGTCATGATTTGTGAAGCTTGAGCTTTGACGTCTAAAGGTGGCACACAGGAAGCTTCCTCAGCTTGCTAGCAGTTTTAGCAGGCTGTGAATCATATTTTTATTGGGGGCCAATAATAAATTTAGGAGGCTAATTGCCCATCCATCTTATAAGGGCATCATAGTCAAATAACAATGAAAATACATAGTTCACTAATGTTTTACTCTCCTCATTTAATCTTAGTCTTTTACTGGAAGCAATGTATTAAATAAGTTGTAAAGATCATAAATGTTTTATTTAGCTTCAGTGTGGAAGAGGACTATCTTGTATAGACAGGAACACTCTGAATAGCTTTCGTCAAGCTTTTAGGGATTTTCTTTGATTACTTTGCTAAGGAATGCAGTTTATGAGTTAGTTTTACTAATTGTATATTATGAATTTAGAAAGCAGTTAATCTCAGTCTGTACCTTTAGTACTCAAAAATAATTCTTTATTGACTTAGCATCAATTTTTCTCTTGCTATTAAAACTGAAAAATGGTTATTATTTCTGATTTCAATGACCACATGAATGTCTTTTAAAATACTGCATAAATAGCTATTTTCTCACTCAATAACTATTTGTTGAATGTCTTAGTGTTTGCTATATTGTAGTTGACACTAGGGATGAGAATTGGAGGGCAGGGTTGAGGGTGGTCAACTAGGGGATTTGTACTCATTTAATCTTTTTAGTGATTTTACAGATAATGAGTCATTTTACAGATAATAAGCACTGAGAAGAAGGAGCTTTAATATCAGTCTCCTTCAAATTTGTGTTTCTGTCATTTATATTCTTATAATTGTTATCATTAAGGCTTGTCAAGTCTGTATTTTAAGTTAGGTTTGAGAGAAAATTTACTACTGTAAAGATTGTTTCATTTTAAAATAGAGCAATATAAAATATATCTGAGTTATAACTCTTGAGCCAAAGTTAAAGATATATTTGAGTAGTTGGTTGAACAAAAAGGCCTTGGTCATGTCTCATGTATTTTTGTTATGTATGTCTCCAAGCTGTACACCTTGACATTTGTAACTGTGATTGATAATTAGATAGTGAGAAGCCCAGCCATTTCATAGGTGACACAGTGGTGAAGAATCTGCCTGCCAATGCAAGAGACATGAGAGATGTGGATTCAGCCCCTGGGTTTGGTAGATCCCCTAGAGAAGGAAATGGCAACCCGCTCCAGTATTCTTGCTTGGGAAATCCCATGGACAGAGGGGCCTGGCAGGCTACAGTCCATGGGGTTGCAAAAGAACTGGACACGACTTAGCAACTAAACAACAGCAATTGAACTTTATTGAGAGCTTTAACTACTTCCAGCAGTTCTGAGGGCAGTAATACCAAACAGCATGCCCACTTGCTTTTCTCAGCATCATGGCTTTTAGTACATCTTTCATCAACTTCTGCCATTATATCCTTTCCCCAAGCCCTAGAAATTTGCAGAAAATAATACCTGAGAGCTTGAGCATTAACTAGTACTTAAAACACTTAATTACAGGGAAGTACAGTGTCTCTAAGCCAAAATTATGTGTTAATATTTAGTTTTAATGAAAAATGCTCTCAGAGGAGTCTATAGAGAATAAGACTGGTTGAGAGTCAGCAGAAGGCATTCCAGGCAGAAAGTACAATATAATCATATGCTTGGACCATCAAGATACAAGAGCGAGGTCAGTTTGGTTCCAGGTAGGCACAGATGGACCAAGCAGTGGGATGGATGCTGAGCTTCAGAAAGTGCACTTTACTCCTGTCTCACTAAACAGCCATTCGTTTAATATTGTTTTCTTTCAATAGCGTGTTCATTGAATGGTGCCATTAGTCATTATTGGGAAAGGAGGGATTTTATTTTGCATTATTGGGATTTATTTTGCATGTTTCTTTCTTATTTTAATATTTATTACAACAAAGTTCTGGTATATGTAGCCCTTATTTTTATTACGGTCATGGTATTTGACTGTATAGTTATATTTTGGATCTGATGTTTTTAATTTGTTGAATATTCATTTTCTCAGTTTTTGTCTTACATAGTTGAAGCTAGGTAAGCTATGCAACATGAATTTTTACCGTAATTAGCACTTGAATTTTTATTTTTAATAATTACATGCCCTATACCTCTGTTGCTAGTATTGTTTTGTTTATATAATTCAAATTCTACAATTCACATATTTCTATAGACTTTTGTAGCATTATATTTTGTATTTCTTTTTCATTTCAAGGCAAATGGTTTTATTGCCTGAAGGTCTTGATAGTTCTGTAAATAGATGTAGAGCTATATAAAACAATAAAAGATTATTTTTTTAAAGTCTTTCTGAGAGGGGGAAACAACAGAACGTTGGTATTTTGTAGACTCAATAAGGAAGACTTTGTACTTTGTTTTCAGAGATCAATTTTAGTACTTTTTACAGTGGTTTTATCAGCTGTTCAGTGGAATTACTGCCTTAAGTCTGATCAAACTTAGCCATAGCCTTACTGAGTTATTTGTCATAGCTGACAGGGTTTTGATGCTATTAAGACTTATCCTTTTCTTTCGCAGAACTATTGCACAGCCAAAACATTGTATATATCTGATTCAGACAAGAGAAAGCACTTCATGCTGTCTGTAAAGATGTTCTATGGCAACAGTGATGACATTGGTGTGTTCCTAAGCAAGCGGATAAAAGTCATCTCCAAACCTTCCAAAAAAAAGCAGTCACTGAAAAATGCTGACCGTATGTATCCTTGTTTTCTTTTTTCCCTCAACTCCCAATGTGAATTAGTAAGACTAATTCAACTGTTTTTTAAATTAAAATTTTCTTTTCAGTAGCCAGTTCATTCTTTTAAAGTATTTTTTTGGTCTTCACTTTATCTGAAAAAGTCATATTCAATTATTATTGCTGCTTTATTGTCTTTTTTGTTTCTCTAATTAAAAATGGTCAGTACCTGGTGTAGCGAAGTGGTTCTTAACCAGAACTGGCTCCTCACTGCTCACCAGAGGCATTAGGAGAAGTGGGGGTTTCCTTCTGCTGTCAGTGACTAGAGCGAGTAATGTTAGCATTGAGTGTCTAAGTATCCTGCAGTGTGCAAGATGGTTCCTATTCCACAAGAATTGATTCACTCAGGATATCAGAACGCCTGTTTGAGAAGCACTGTTATGTCAAATGGACTTCGGAAGGCCATCATGAAAACCTAAAAAATTTTAACATGGTTGCTCTGGCAGACTGCTCTCTCTGCACATTTTTAGACTTTCACGGGTAAATGCTGTTTGAATTATACACTTCAACTTCTATACCCATTTTTCTTTTTTTATTTTGACTTTTTATTATGAAAACTTTCAAACTTAAACGAAAGGGGTAGTATTGATATAAGGTGACCAACCACCAGACCTCAACAGATTTTACCAATTCTGTTTTATCATTTCTGTCATCACCAACTCCTCTTCCTCCTCCAGTTGCTAGAATTTTTTAATGTAACTCTCAGATATCCTGTCCTTTCAGTCATTTCTGTAGTAGTGACTCTTAACAGAAAATTTTCCTTTTAAACGTCATCACACCCAACAAAAGTTGATGATAGTTCATTAATGCCATCTACTGGCCAGTCCATGTGGAGACTGATCATACTGTCTCAAAGCATCTTTTTACAGCTGTGTTTCTGTTGTTTTGTTGTCTTCAGTAGTTGGTTTGTTCAAACTTGGATCAAAACAGGGTTCATATATTTTAACCTGAAATAGTTTCTGTTCTTTCTACTAGCCTTTTTTTTCTTTCTGTGTTATTTATTTGTTGAAATTGGGTGATTTTTCTTATGGAATTTCCATATTCTGAATCTGACTGATTACGTGTTTCTTCTGTCTCGCATATCTTCTATAAACTGTTGACTATACCTAAAGAGCTTCATTTTAGAATTAGCTGGTTCTACATATGTTCATTTCTCTCAGATCAGAAGTCTTATTGTCTGGTTATCCCACTTATTGTCACACTAAGATTGGTTATAGTAAGTTAAGTTGTTAGTCTAATTCAACAGTTACAAAATTCCTCAGGAAACTTGAACCAAATGATTTCAGTAGTCCTTCATCATGGTTGCAAGATAGTGGCATCTCTAATTCTTTTATTCTTAACTTTTACATTTGTTTGCTGTTTGCTTTAAATGTAGTCTATGGAGAAAAGGCAGGATAAGTGCTTGTGTACTAATTTGCAGAATAATAGTTTCATTCTTGGAAGGTGAGGCTTTAGGATTCCGGTTAATTTGCTTGGTTTTACTTTGTCTTCTCTTTTTTAAATGAACTCATGCGATGTTATATAGTGGGTGGTTTTTAGTCTGCTTTAGTCATTACCATCATCATTACGGAGATCTCAAACATGCTAGACTTGCATAATAACATGGAACCTCTTTTGTTTATTCTCTAACTTTTCTTTATTTTATTTTTTTTATTCTCTAACTTTTCATCAGTGATCTTAACTTCAGGCCAGTCTTGATTCATCATCATCTGTAACCCTACTCCACCCACACTTTTCTCTGCTGTCATTTTAGTTTGATGCAAATCCAAGACATTGTATCACCTGTAAATGTTTCTATGCATCTCTGAAAGATAGGGTCTCTTTGTTTAATATAATTATAATAGATAATATTATATATAATAGAATTATAATACCATGATCACACAAAAGCAAATATAAAACAACTATAAAAAGAAATAATGTCTTAGTATCTTTAAATACCTAGTCAGTGCTCAAATTGAAAATTGTCTAAAATGTGTGTGGGGGTTGGGGGGTGTTGGTGAGCCATTGGTTTGAATCAAAATTCAAATATGATTTAGCAGATATTGTATATTGTGTTGACATGCCATTGAATTTTCTTTTTAAAATTTGTGGACTTTTCTCTTCATCTTTCTCTCTCTTTCTATTTATTCAAGAGGCTAAGTCAGTTGACTATGAGAGATTTTCACATACTGGATTTCAGTAATTGTATTCCCTTGGTGTAGTAATGTATTTTCTGTAAATTGGTAGTGTCAAAGAGAAACAGAATTGGACATTAAAGGTGGTAAAAGCACATTTTATTCACTACATTTGCAATAGGGAAAAGAGCTTTCAGTATAGAGCTGAGCTCAACTACAAATACAACAAGGACAAGTGGGATTTATAGTCAAGGAGCAGAGTTGAACATGTCAGTAGGTGGAAAGTTACTAAGAGGAGAAATCAAGGGTGTGGGTATTCTTGACAAGAATTTCTATAAAGATAGGCCAAGTTAATCAGATGGGCTTTCTGGGTGGCTCAGAGGATAAGAATCCATCTGCCAGTGCAGGAGACACAGGTTTGATTCCTGGGTCAGGAAGATCCCCTGGAGAGGAAATGGCAACCCACTCCAGTATTCTTGCCTGGGAAATCCCATGGACAGAAGAGCCTGGAGGGCTGTATAATCCATGGGGCCACAAAAGAGTTGCCCAGGACTTAGTGATTTAACAAGAACAAGATGATTAGATATAAAGGTGAAGGGAAAAAACTTGATCAGATATCAAGGATGGAAGGATGACTTAGTAGGATTCTTGGCAGTAACTGGGCTAGCTAGGCCATTATCGGGACCCAAGAAAGAGTCTCCATGGATAAAGGGCTCACAGGAACCTGTCTGAAGTTTGGTCAAGGAGAGAGTCTTTGTCAGTAGTTAATTTAGAAACTTGATCAGATTTCAGCTTGTTGTTCTTGTGTTCCTTTTTGTTGTTCTTTGTTGCTGGAGGGCAAGCCTGCTTCACAGTTGATATAGTGTTCTTGCATCAGTTCAGTTCAGTCACTTAGTCGTGTCCAACTCTTTGTGACCCCATGGACTGCAGCACGCCAGGCCTCCCTGTCCATCACTAACTCCCAAAGTTTACTCAAACTCATGTCCATTGAGTCAGTGATGCCATCCAACAACCTCATCCTCTGTCATCCCCTTCTCCTCCCACCTTCAATCTTTCCCAGCATCAGGATCTTTTCCAATGAGTCAGTTCTTCCCATCAGGTGGCCAAAGTATTGGAATTTCAACTTCAGCATCAGTCCTTCCAGTGAATATTCAGAACTGATTTCCTTTAGGATTGACTGGTTGAATCTCCTTGCAGTCCAAAGGACTCTCAAGAGTCTCCTCCAACACCACAGTTCAAAAGCATCAATTCTTTGGTGCTCAGCTTTCTTTATAGTCCAACTCTCACATCCATACATGACTGTTGGAAAAACCATAGCTTTGACTAGACAGACCTTTGTTGGCAAAGCAATATCTCTGCTTTTTAATATGCTGTCTAGGTTGGTCATAACTTTCTTCCAAGGAGTAAGTGTCTTTTAATTTCATGGCTGCAGTCACCATCTGCAGTGATTTTACAGCCCAGAAAAATAAAGTCAGCCACTGTTTCCACTGTTTCTCCCTCTGTTTGCCATGAAGTGATGGGACCGGGTGCCGTGATCTTAGTTTTTCTACAGTTTGTTGTGATCTACATAGTCAAAGGCTTTGGCATAGTCAGTAAACAGAAATAGATGTTTTTCTGGAACGCTCTTGCTTTTTTGATGATTCAGCAGATGTTGGCAATTTGATCTCTGGTTATTCTGCCTTTTCTAAAACCAGCTTGACCATCTGGAAGTTCATGGTTCACATATTGTTGAAGCCTGACTTGGAGAATTTTGAACATTACTTTACTAGCGTGTGAGATGAGTGCAATTGTGCGGTAGTTTGAGCATTCTTTGGCATTGCCTTTCTTTGGGATTGGAATGAAAACTGACCTTTTCCAGTCCTGTGACCACTGCTGCATTTTCCAAATTTGCTGGCATATTGAATGCAGCACTTTCACAGCACCATCCTCTAGGATTTGAAATAGTGCAACTGGAATTCCATCACCTCCACTAGTTTTGTTCATAGTGATGCTTCCTAAGGCCCACTTGACTTCACATTCCAGGATGTCTGGCTCTAGGTGAGTGATCACACCATCATGATTATCTAGGTTGTGAAGATCTTTTTTGTGTAGTTACTCTGTGTATTCTTGCATCAGGAGGCATTTTATGCCATGCATTTAGGTTGTTTCCAGTTCAGTTGTGCAGCACAGTCAGGTAGCTAAATAATCTGCTTGCCAATGCAGGAGATGCAAGAGACTCGGGTTCGATTCCTGGATTAGGGAGATTCCCCTGGAGAAGGAAACGGCAACCCCACTCCAGTATTTTTGCCTGGAGAATCCCTTGGACAGAGAAGCCTGGCAGGCTATAGTCATGGGTCGCAAAGAGTCAGACACGACTGAGCATGCACAGATGTCTTAAGCCAATTCAAATTACAGGATTTTATTTAAAGTCTTTAATTTTGTATATCTGTTGATTCTTGAGTTTTTTGATGGCAAAGAACATATTTCATTTATAGAATATTTTTCCTGCTTACATTGATGTGGTTGGTTTTTCAAGAAATTTCATGCAATGCTATACTTTAAGGTATTTAGAAGAAAGCAAAATCTCTAAAATCACAGTATCCAGAGGCAATTGCCATCATCTTTGGTAAACGTCCTTCTAGATCCATCTTTTTGAATATATTCCATGGGATTATATGTGAGCATGTGGAGACATATGTTATCACATAAAAATGTATAAGTTTACCTAATGAAACCACAGTGTAGTCTGCTTTGCATTCAGTGATATATCAGGGAGATATTTTCTCTTCAGTGTATTTAAATACACATTATTCAATTAGGTCAATAATGTTATATTTTATTTAATCAATTTCCTATTATTCGACACCTTTTTAAAAGTAACTTCCTTTTAAAAAACAGCACTGTGTTAAATATATTATACAGCACTCATTTAAAAATCATTTTTATGGGCATATTATATATCTGTAGCTTAACGTTATTAATAAAAGAGTTACCCTGACTTCTGGGGGAGTATTATCTGTATTTTCTTGGAGGGTTTAAAATAAGTGTTAGCAGAATCCATTAACTATTATATTATAGTGAAGAATAGTCATAACTTACCAGGTACTGGCACCTTCTTGCCCTTTGCTGTTACCCCACCCCCACCCCCCCCAATCACGTAAATAGCTGTTTTTTCTTTGCAGTCTGCATTGCCTCAGGAACAAAGGTGGCTCTGTTTAATAGACTCCGATCCCAGACAGTTAGCACCCGATACTTGCATGTAGAAGGAGGTAATTTCCATGCCAGTTCTCAGCAGTGGGGAGCATTTTACATTCATCTCCGTGAGTATAAAAATATGCATTTGGTTTTTTTAGTGTGAAATTAATTTTTTTTAAATAATAAGACTTACAGATATATTTAGTCTTGTTGTTTTTATAAGCAGATTAATAAATTTTAAAGATGATAATTTGATCTCTGTTTCCATCGTACTGCAGTGGATGATGATGAATCAGAAGGAGAAGAATTCACAGTCCGCGATGGATACATCCATTATGGACAAACAGTCAAACTTGTGTGTTCAGTTACTGGCATGGCACTCCCAAGATTGGTATGGCCTTAATGACCTCATGACTGTTTATAATAAATTTTGACAGCTTTCCCCCACTTTTTGGTTGTTTATCTGGACATGTTCGATAGAGGGCACTCTAAAGTTACATTATGATTTATATTCTTAACTAATGTAGGTTCATTATTCATTCTTTGTGGTGCTTGCTGCATCCTAACACAGGCCCAAGTTTTCAAAAGCATAGAAATTGTAAATTTCTTTAAAAATAAAAGCATAGTTTTTGTTAGTTTACTCTCCTGCAAAAAGATAGAGACAGTGTTTGGGTTTTTTGAAATAGTAAAAAACTGCTTTTCTTAGCAAAGTGAAGCAAAAGCCTCTTATACATTCTGCATCATATTCCCCCTCGTTTTCTGAAACAGAACACAATTTAGTTGTATTAAAGATGGAAGGAGTTTATTAGTAAGTTGGATTAAGGTCAGCTTGGGGGAGGGGCTGAGTGAATGGAAAAACTTGAGTATTACTTTCCTGAATATGCTTTGTATCTCTTTAATGAAATATTTTATTGGCTGATATTTTCTGGGACTATTTCAGCAGGGAGCTGGGTTGATCTATAATTATCTGAGTTAATGCATCATCTTGTGGTTTTTGTTATCTTTTTCTGTGTTGTGGTTGTACAAGGTGATTTTATTTCCCATTTCAACTTAAAGCCAAAATATGTGAAACATAGTAATATAAGTTTACAAAACCTTGAACCTAAGATAGATTATAAAAGGGAGGAAGGGAATGAAGGGTGCATAAATTAGGAAGACACAAACCAAAAAAGGGACTGAATAAATTTTACTAAAGTTTTCTTCTTATTTATTCTGTGTCACTATATTCCAAGGATCCTGTTTATTTGCTCTGGCATTAAATGCTTGTACTTTGGAGGCACAATTCAGAGGCTTATGTCTCTGACCAGCAACAACTTATATATAGGCCACTGAAAAGACTGACTCAAATCTAAAAGTGGTGTTTTCCCTTAGTTCCATGTAAAGTACCAGTCTGCCTTGCTTGAAAGTCATCTTTAATTGAATATTTTTACATTCAAAACTGTGTGGCTCTAATTATAAAAATGAAATTTAAAAAACCTGATCCAGAGAATGCCTTAGGAAAAGTTGCAGTATGATCGTTAACATTGTTAACAGTACATACTTCTTTCTAGAGATCACGTGATTGAGGCATTAGTTTCCTCAGAATCATAGCTAGGCTTTATATGGTCTACACTACTTCCTGCCTGCCTGTCCATCCACTTAGATACAGTTTTCAATGAAAACATGTTTTTCAGAGGAAGCATTCTATAGTTTTCATATGCTTTTAAGAAGGATAACACTGCCTTAATATCTAAAGTTTGCATTTTATGTTTCCTAGAATATTAGCCTTGTTAGAGATCCTTGCTTGAAAACCACTGTCCCCCCCAAGACCAATTGCAACGGGATGAAGGTCTTAGTGAGAAACCCTGGTTTGGGTACTTTGAAACCAGGCACAATCTATGTAGATCTAGCCAACTAACAAGAAACATCAGTTAGCATTTGTCTCATGCTCTCAAGTCTGTGAGATACCCCAGAAATTTGGGACAGCTAACATCTGTTAGATAAACTAATCAGCAGCATAAACTTAGCCTGGGCATTTACAAGGTATAGTGCTAAGAGTATGAATAAGGTATGTCTTCTGTCCTTACGGGCTGCATCCCAGTTACCTAAGAAGTGCAGTGAACACTGTACCAGTAACCTGTACAGCCAGCACAGAGGAGCGAGAGCTGGGTGCAGTAACTCCTGGGGTTAGAATTCATCACTTTCTCATCGCACGTAGCTCATTATAACATTCACGCTACCTGGCTTCTCAGATTTCTTTCCTCTTCTTAATAATTAGAAATTATCACAGCAAGTTTTTGATACCAAATAGTAGGGGGCGTCTTTGGTTTGCTTATTGGTGAGACCAGGCCACTCAGCGGTGTCTTATGTCCAGAGAGCTATTGTGAGAAATAAAATTGAACCAAACGTGACCCATGTTCTCAATATACTCATTATTATTAAGTAGTGAAGAAACAGTAGGTTACAGGGATAAACTGTTATAGGCAGATCTTGAGTCTTATGTGGTGAAGTCATAAATGAGTGTGGTAGACCTACAGGAAGTTTTAGGCTTACATCATTCAAAATTCACTGTTTCTTTAAAATTCAAGCAGTGTTAAATACAGTTTTAAGACTAGAGTTGAATGGAAACATTTTACTTGAGTTTATTAATTAGTCTCACAGAATATATTAGAAAATATAATTGCTAAAAGTGTACTGTCTCCCTTTAAACTCGAAAATTAGTGGTGATATCAGTAGGGTGACAAATAATCAAATAAACTGCAGAGCTAAAAATATGTAAATATGAAGAATGTTGACTTAAAAATTAGGATTTTTAATAGTTGTGGCTTAAGTTGAAAAAAAATGATCATGGAATATAAGTTAGGTGTGTGAATTAAGTAATAAAAACCCAATAGTACTGCATACTATTTATAGCACTCTTCTGAGCACTTTTACAAATATCAATTCATTTAACCCTTCCAAAATTCTGAGGGTTATTAAGAATGTCCATTGTGGAGCAAAGTATTACAGTCCTACATGTATACGTGCATTCTACAAATAACCCTGAACCTTTCACGGGCCAGTCACTGTCTAGATGCTGGAGATACACTGGTGAACAAGTTAGACTTCCTTTCCTCTTGGAGCTTATGTTTTGGTAGGGCGATAGACAAAAAAACAGCTAAAGAGATGTCTACATAATGTTATTTAAAGGTTAGTATAAGTGGCAAGACAAATTAAAACAGGATAAATACATAGGGAAATGGGAGAGCTTATAGTGGTCAGAGAAACCTTTATGAAGTGGGGCTGTTTGAACAGAGACCATAATGAAGTTGGGAAACAGAAACTGGCTGTGGAATGTTTCGGCCTGACAGAATGCGAGCAAAAAGAAGACAGAAATGTATGAGGACTGGCAAGGAAGCCACTGTAGCTAGAGCTGAGAGAGGAGTGGAGAGGGCAAGTGCCAGGAAATGATGCTGCCAAGTAAGCCATGGGCAACATCTTGTCAAATCCCTCTGTCTAGAGTAAAACTGTCTGTTAACCTGTGTACAATAGGAGGCCACTTGAGGCTCTCAAACAGAGAATGATGGCTGGTTTATGTTCGGAAGGATAATTCTGGCTGCTCTGTGAATAAGAGCTCAGGGAGATATAGTGGTGGAAGCGAAGAGAAAGATGACTGGGCTTTTGTCATAATTCAGGCAAGAAGTTGATGATGATACCTTAGACCAAGATGGTACTGGTAAGGCGATGAAAGGTGACTGATTTACTTAAAAGTTGCTGCTGCTAAGTCACTTCAGTCGTGTCTGACTCTGTGTGACCCCATAGACGGCAGCCCATGAGGCTCACCCGTCCCTTGGATTCTCCAGGGAAGAACACTGGAGTGGGTTGCCATTTCCTTCTCCAGTGCATGAAGGTGAAAAGTGAAAGTGAAGTCGCTCAGTCGTGTCCGACTCTTAGTGACCCCATGGACCGCAGCCCACCAGGCTCCTCCGTCCATGGGATTTCCCGGGCCTAACAGAATTTGTTGACAGATGGAGTATAAGAGAAAGTAAGGAGTCAAAGATGACTCCACGGTTTTAGGATTGAGTGAACGTGGTGTCATTTATTGAGCTTAGGAAGAAATAAAAAATTATGTTTTGGATTGAAATGGCTATTAATAGACATTTTAAGTGGAACTGTTGAATAGGTAGTTAAATATACAAGTTGAGTGCCTGAGAAAGGCTATGGCTGGAGATAAAAGTTTAGGAATTGCCAGCCTCTAAAGCTTAGACGGTAAAGAATCTGCCTGCAATGAAGGAGACCCGGGTTCGATCCCTGGGTCGGAAAGATCCTCTGGAGAAGGGAATGGCAATCTACTCCCAATATTCTTGCCTGGAGAATCACATGGACAGAGGAGCCTGGCGGGCCACAGTCCATGGGCTCGCAAAGAGTCGGACACAACTGAGCAACTAACACTACTACTACTAACCGCTAAAGAGAATAGAAGGTCTGTAGAGTATGGGAAGAGGGAAGGAGATCTGGGGACTCCGCTCCGGAGCACTGAAGGCAGTTCGAGCAGGTGTGCTTCCGAAGGAAGCGTGCGTGGGTCAGATGCCTCTGTGAAAGCCGAGGTGAGGACAGAGGGGCGCTCGTGAGACTCGTCTGTCTTGAAGCCCTTAAGGACCTCGCCAAGAGCGGCTCTGAAACACAAAGTTGGAGCGATTTCAGGAAGTGGGGTGGTGAGGAAGAGGAGTTCTGCTATAAAGGGGAACAGGGAGACGGGGCATTGAGAGGGAAGGAGAAGGGCATGTAGTCGAGGAAGGGTTTTTTTCTTTTTTTTAATGTCAGTGATTGGAGATTTTGTTTATTGATTTGCCACACCACTCGGTGTGCAGGATCTCAGCTCCCCAACTAGGGATCGAACCCGTGCCTCCTGCTTTGGGAGCACGGAGTCTTAACCACTAGACCACGAGTGAAGTCCCAAGGAAGGGGTTTCTTTATTTCTGATTAAAGATGAGAAGTGGTTCCAGCATGTTTGGATGCTGTTGAGAGTAATCTTCACAGCCCTCAAACACTGAGTGATTACTTTCCATGTGATAAGTAACACTGAAGGTTTGAATAGTACTATCTTTCAGATATCCTATGTGTTTTGTGGAATATTTGTAGTGTAAGGTCATACTATATAATGGAAAGAGTTCAAACTGGGCAGGCAGCCAGCCTTGGAATCATACTTTGGTTCTTCAGCTACTGACCGGGTGAATTTGAGGAGCTTAACCTGACCTCTGTGGAGAAGGCAATGGCACCCCACCCCAGGACTCTTGCCTGGAAAATCCCATGGACGGAGGAGCCTGGTAGGCTGCAGTCCATCGGGTCGCTAAGAGTCGGACACAACTAAGCAACTTCACTTTCACTTTTCACTTTCATGCATTGGAGAAGGAAATGGCAACCCACTCCAGTGTTTTTCCTGGAGAATCCCAGGGACGGAGGAGCCTGGTGGTCTTCCGTCTGCGGGGTCACAGAGAGTTGGACACGACTGAAGCAGCTTAGCAGCAGCAGCAGCAACCTGACCTCTGAGCCTGTTTCCTAATCTGCAGAATGATGCCTGTTTTATGTTAAAACAAAGCAACAGCATGTAAGTGTGATAATGGACTTAGGTACTAATTAGCATACCCATAGTGGCCTTTAGAGATAATTTTCCCTTTGATATTAGAATATTTGTCATTGTGTGTTATTGGAGAGGTCATCTGAGCTTGCTACTCAAAATACAATTCATAGACCAGCACGATGAACATCAGCTGGAAATTAGCCAGAAATGCAAAATTTCAGGCCCTCTCTGATTTGCAGGCTCAGAACAGATGTATGTTTAACAGGAACCCCATATGGTTTATACGGATGTCAAAGTTTGAAAAGCACAGATTTAGAAAGCAAGTGCCTGCCTGCCCTATTGTTTTTAGTCTCCTCATTCTTAACATGCTTGCAATTTAAAAGTATTTTTATGCCTTACTTTATTGTTTGTACATGCTATTGTGTATGTAGATATGTGACAGGTATCTATGATGTATTATTTCATGGCAGATTCTTGCCGTGTACTCTTGACAATGTAGGAAATGAAGACTCTCCATATGTGATGACCTTTCCTTTTTTAATTGTTGAAATGCAGATAATTAGGAAGGTTGATAAGCAGACTGCGTTACTGGATGCCGATGATCCTGTGTCACAGCTCCACAAATGTGCGTTTTACCTTAAGGATACAGAAAGAATGTACTTGTGCCTTTCTCAAGAAAGAATAATCCAGTTTCAGGTATGTTTCTAAATTGCTAGTAAAATCTAAAATGTGCAAACTGTTAGGTTAGCAGCATTCAGAAACATGAAACTCTCATTTAAAAAATGTTAATATATCCAAATACATGAATCTGTGTTCAGATATTTATCCTGATTTCAAGGGTCCTTAGCCCACATGTTCTTCAGACATGTTAGTCATTCTACCTCAAAGAACTCAAAACTATGAGAATGTTCTAAGAGAAACAGTTAACATCTAATTCTGAGGGATGAAAAGTTCTTCAGATTACCCAAAAGTAGATGTTGGGTGTTCAGAGAGTCACCTGAAATTATGTGCAGACAACACCGTATGTAGTGGTGCATGCATACTTTGGAGGAGGATTCATAATTCTCATCAGATTTATATTGGGGTCTTCTAAGATAGTAATGATGACATGTTAAAAACTAATTAGTCAAAATCCAATTTTTAACTATGTTGACTCAGAAGGCCTTCATGAGGACATTTATGACATGAACAAATGATTTAATAGAATAGTTACACTTCCACATGAAACTCATTTGTGGACATCTGGAGGCTTTTCCCGGAGAGATGGCCACACACAGCTGGTCTCCTCAGCCCATCACTGGGCTGGCCTAGGTGTTTCGAGGTAGGAATAGGGGATTGCTATTCACATCTTGGTTCCTTCCTGCTGAAAGTATAGAAGTTTCTATAATTCTCTAAGTAGGAGGGGACATCCATTCTCTCTTTGTTTTGTTGATGTTGTTTAGTCACTCAGCCGTTTTCGACTCTTTGTGACCCCATGAGCACAGCCTGCCAGGCTCTTCTGTCCATGAGATTTCTGAGGCAAGAATACTGGAGTGGGTTGCCATTTCCTTCTCCAGGGGATCTTCCCAGCCCAGGGATTCAACCATGTCTCCTGCACTGGCGGGTGGATTCTACACCATTGAGTCACCAGGGAAGCCCCTCCTCTCTCTTAGGGATCTCTGAAGCATTTTAAGCAGCTTATTATATCTTTTATTAAGATCTTTTATTAAAGATTATTAAATTAAAGAAATTATACAGGTACTGGTGTAATTTTACTTAAATGGTTATTCTGAAAGGTATTATTAATTTTTAGTATGTCATTTAAATAATTTATATTGAAATAAAACCTGCCTTACATGAGGTTTCCATATTAATATTCTATTTTTAATTAGGGGTTGGAAAAGTATGGTGCCTGGGAAGTTTATAAATTTGTACTAAATTCTTTTCGTGGGTGTTACTTTGTTAAAATTGTCTTACAATACCACAATGTATATAATTAATAACCGTTCTTTGTTTCTAAGGCCACTCCATGCCCAAAAGAACCAAATAAAGAGATGATAAATGATGGAGCTTCCTGGACAATCATTAGTACGGATAAGGCCGAGTATACATTTTATGAGGGGATGGGCCCTGTCCTTGCCCCAGTCACACCTGTGCCTGTCGTAGAAAGTCTCCAGGTGAGACCTCTTACCAGTTGACTTCAGCTGTTTGCAGCTGCTCAGCTGTGATGTGGCGCAATTTTACTTCACAGTAAATCTGGTTTTTCTTCAAATCCTGTGATTTGGAGGGTTTTTTACACAGTGAAGAAGAAAATCAGAGGAACACACAAAATTTTAGCAAGAAAATTTAAGTGTAAATCAGCTTGTATATTGAGAGTTTTAGTTCACTTTGTCTTTATAATCATGTTATTTAAAGGAAATAATTTTAATTATTTTTTTTTTTTTGCACATGATAGTTGAATGAAAAACTCATCTGTGTACTTTAATGAAAAATGAAATGTTTCCTCAACGTTGTTTTGATTTTCTGTGAATTGCAGTTGAATGGCGGTGGGGACGTAGCAATGCTTGAACTAACAGGACAGAATTTCACTCCAAATTTACGAGTGTGGTTTGGGGATGTAGAAGCTGAAACTATGTACAGGTACTTAATACAATTTTTTATATCATCCAGAGTTTTTGATGGGGGTGGGTACATGAGACTATTTCCCAAGAGTCCTGTGTTAAGAGGTTGATTGTCCTGTATTAAGCAACCTTGTTTTTAAGTTGCAGTTATAAAATTTGCCATGCTTTTAAGTGATTTCTATTTCCTCCTCAGATGTGGAGAGAGTATGCTCTGTGTTGTCCCAGACATTTCTGCATTCCGAGAAGGCTGGAGATGGGTCCGGCAGCCAGTCCAGGTTCCAGTAACTTTGGTCCGTAATGATGGAATCATTTATTCCACCAGCCTTACCTTTACCTATACACCAGAACCAGGGCCACGGCCACATTGCAGTGCAGCGGGAGCAATCCTTCGAGCCAACTCAAGCCAAGTGCCCCCTAATGAATCAAACACAAACAGCGAGGGAAGTTACACAAACGTCAGCACAAATTCAACCAATGTCACATCATCTACAGCAACAGTTGTGTCCTAACTACCGTCTTTTTGCTAGGACTTACACTGACTTGAGTGTGGCAAAATGTTGACAAAAAAAAAAAAGAAAGAAAAAAATGAACAATCTTTTGTGGTTTCTTGGGAAAACTTTTCATACCAGATTATACTATTCAAAAACCCCATTACCTGCAAGTGCTGATTTGAAGTGCAGAAGCCACAGTAAAGCAAAACAAACAAAAAGCATCTAAATGTATAAACTTCTGGAAATCGATTTTTTTCAGCTGTTATTTTTGTTTGGTTGGTTTTTGTTTGGTTTTGTTTAAATGGGCAAGAAATAGAGATGTGGCCGAAGTAAAAGTTAATCAAACTAGAAGACAAAAATCTAACATAGTTTTTATGGACCAAGGAACTTGTATAAGCTTTAGTAAAAGGTACATTTTCACCATACCTTTTTTATATCACGTATATAATACATCTTTGTTACCAAATAGGTTGTTCTCCTCCCCACCCACTTTGAGCTTTTGCTCTTAAGTACATTCAGGTTCCAAGCCTGACCATGCTTGTTTAATCTAATTACCATACTCTTCCAGGTCTTTCTGGTCCAAGGCTGGAACTGTTCTTTTTATTTTATTATTTTTTTAAAAGCTGAAGTCTTATGACTTTTCTTGAATGGAAGGTGTTTTGATTTCAGCAAGTCAAATCTTGTAAAGGCCTGCATTCATATTTCTTTTAAGATTATATGAAGTCTGTGCAAAAGCTTTAAAAAAATGCCTCTGCCTTGCCTGCAATACATGCAATGTACTTAGTCTCTATTCTCAAATACCATTGATAGTTATTTCTCTGTGTTACTTTTTTTTTTTTAATGTATTTATAGTGGTAATCCAAGAGGTTCTAACATTTACCTGAAATTAAATGTGGCCATTTAGTCATTAATGAGTTAATGGCTTGGAACATGTTGGTTTTTACAGTGTTCCCTCCCCTTTTCCTGTGCAGAAATGTTTCTACTCAGTCAACATTTGTTCAGGTTTCCTCCCCCTCCTCATCTTGTACATAACTTGTATTATGTGTAAGTTAAACATTTTATTCTGAACTCGGAATACTCCCAGTGATTTCATTCAGCAGGGTGTTTTCTGCCTTGTTGGCATATGATAACAAAAAATATCATGCTAAGTGTTCGCTACCAGCTGGTAGATGGTGCCCTTGTTGTATAATGAGGAAAAATCTCAGCAAAGGCGTGGTTTTATTTACCTTTTTTTTTTGGTGGAGGGGATAGCCTAGGTCAAAACATCACTGTAACCTTGAAACAGGATGCTTTTACTAGATGACCAACTAAAATAGCTGGAAGACAATACTTTAGAAATGGATAGTTGTAAGATTATAAAAATGCAAATGTAATTTATCTTTCCATTTCTTTCCCGTTTTTTTGTCTTCTCTTCCCCAACATGAGTGTCTTCACAAATGTCACCTACTCAGAAAGCATTTCTTCTCCATTTAAGATTAGATTGCATTCCGGGTTGTGTGCTGCCTCTCTGTGTTGGACTCACCTGTTTTACATTGGTTTTGTTCCCACACTTTGGTTATACCTTTGTTCAGTTTCTTAGAAATTGCGGCCGACTCATTGGGCTCCGTTTAGTACAGGAACTGTGTGTGTAATGTTACAGGACATGGTCTAGTAATACAATCATCTTTCTTCGAGTAAAAACTACCTCTCGATTGTGGTAAGCTTTTACTGTCCCATAAAACAGAAGCCACAAGTACCTTAAGGATGCAAAACTAACTTCCTGCATATCTTTCCGTACAGAAATTGTCTTTTTGGTGTCCTGGGCTATTTTGAAAAGTTTCCACCAGTAGACTTTTTAAAACATCATCATGAATAGCTTCCCCCTATTCCCACCCCACAGCTTTGATAAATCTTCATTACTCATTCTTTTGCTCTGACTATGCCATTGTAAATATAGTTCCTAACATCTTTAAATTGCTTTTTCCTCAGTTTTCAGGGGCGAAGTCATTTGTAAAACACGTAGTTAAAGTTATTGTGGTCTTTTCTTTACTGCAAGCCTTTTTAATTACTACAGGCTGCATTATGCTATATATAGCCTTTCTCTCTTTAAGTCTGCTCCCGTCACTTAGCTTCTCTTGTAAGCTAATCCTGCCTCATACTTTAAATCTGTTTCAGTGACCAAGGGCAGAATTCTTTGTGGCCTTATCTTTCTTTGTTTTAACTGTTTACTGGCTTTTTCTTGCAAACTTGCTTCTTTCTGAGTAGTATTTATTCTGCTCTCTGTTGAGTCTGGAAGTAGCCTTCACACAGTGCTTTTTGTTCAGAGCGCAGAAATGTTTTCAGTGCTGCTGAAATGGGCCACAGGTTTCCTCCACTTCCCAAGTTTGTTATTTCGTTACCAATTTATATTAAATTAACTGATAACAAATAAGATGCTTTTGAAGCACAAACTATTCCTCCCCACCACTGCAACTCAAAATATTTTTTTTCAAGTTTATGACTTTATTAAAATGAACTTTTGCTTTTTTACTGTTTAACTATGTCTAATTTTGGCTCTGTTTATTTTAATAAGATAATTGAACTGTTAGACTGTAAACCCGTTTCCTTTTCATTGTTGGTTCTTTTTTAAGATTTAAGAATATACTCCTACAGGCCCCTACCCCCACCCCCCACCACCGTTTTATGCCATTCTACATACCACAAACTGAAATGATTTGTCTGTTATGGCTTATCGTTTGTCAGTAGTTCTTTTGTCAGCTCCTTAAAAAAAGTTTTTGTCAATTATTTTCAGTGTATAATTTACAGGAGCCTCGTCCTCCAGTTATAGTATTGTAGAACGTGGCCTTTCCTCCAATGGTGGCATTATTAGAGATGCTGATCATTTTCCCTCATAAAGGCTCTCAGAATGGTAACCACTTCATTTAAAGTATAGTGTGTTCAAGTTTTTTTGTTTTAAGTCATATATTAGAAGTATATCCTGTGCTTTTATGATTCTATGCAGTCTCTGAAAATATGCATAGAAGCTGTCTCTTATCTATTGTTTTAATTGATCACATAGATTGAGAAGGCAAACAAAAAGCTATAAATATAAAATTCCCTTTTTATTTTGAATGGTTTCAGAGTTGAACACTAGTATAATCTGCTGCTGACTTTTCTTAAACCACGACAAGTAAAGATATCCTTATGTGTGTATTAACTGGTAAAATATTTGTCACTCTTACTGCACAGACTTATTTGCGATAATAACTGGTTAGTTTTTTTTTTTTTTTTTTAATGAAACTAGTACTGTCTGTGCCCTCACAGGAAATTGTCAACAGTTTTTAAGAACTAAACTATTCATGTTTAATCAGATAATCCATACAGGGGTGAGGGTGGTGGGGTTCTTCTTTGAATCAAAATGTTATTCAGTTATTAACTAAGTTACTTACTTTTGATTTCAAAAGCAGCTGTGTTTCTGATGAATACTGAACAAATGTGTGTAATTTTCTGTGCTAGACTTTTGACTTTGTTTTCAAGCACTGTAACGTGGGATGGATGGTTAGAAACAATAATATATTAGGGTTTCTATTTAACCCTTTCAGGACTGAACTGTATTTCCTTTTATTAATTTTTCCCTGTGTTGTGATAAATGTCTGCCAGCATTCAGTACTGTGTTGGTCCCGATGTAGGTTTAAGTGCTCACTTTTAGCTTCTTTCTTGTACCTTGCAGCATGCTCTGCGCATCCAGCCCTTAAGGGTTTATTCTACAAACTGTGCGCCTGTGAGGTCTGTTAGCAATAAGATAGAAAATCGAGCAAGTTTGTACCATGATTTTGTAGAAAAAAGAATCTGCTCAGTTCCATATTTCATCCGTGAGAAACCTGCAATACGGGCAGTTTCAAGAAATAAATAAAAAGGAAATGTAAACCATTGTAAAAGTGTTCTGTTGGACGTGCCTGACACATGTATTATCATCATTGATTTCAGAATACTTAAAGTTTGTCTGTTTATGGTTTTACCTTGCTATCTAAACTTCATCACATCAGAGTAATAACTGTATTGATTTTATTTTTCTTTTTTGCATTTTTAACTAGATAGTGCTTTAAAAAGAAAGTTTTGTGGGGTTTTTTTTTTTTTTGAGAGGGCTTGTTTTTTTTTTTTCCTTGTAAATGGGGAAATGGCCTTTGGACAACTCAAGAGTTGTCTTCTAATTCAGGAATATTTTGAACTAATCTCAACATGATTGGAGAGCAGTATTTAATGACAGCTTGCTTCTCCAGTATGAGGTGTTATCATTTGGCCTACTGTATGAAAGAACATAGAATGGTTTCTGCTTTTTGTTGGGGGCTCTTCAGTATGCTTTTTGTTTAATGGTAGTTTAGTCGCTAAGTTGTGTCCAACTCTTGCGACCCCATGGCCTGTAGTCTCCTCTGTCATGGGATTCTCTGGGCAAGAATACCGGAGTGGGTTGCCATTTTCTTCTTCAGGGGGTCTTCCCGACCTAGGAATAGAACCTGGGTCTCCTGCATTGCAAGCAGATTCTTTACTGACTAAGCTATGAGGGAAGCCCACTTTGTTCAACAGGGAAACAGTAAAGGGAAAGGTTGTTATGTACTTTTTAAATCATAGCAAGTTCATTTATCTGACATCCCCTAAAAGAAAAAACGTACGCCAAGTTATCAGGGTTTTGCTAAAGACATCTTCTGAAAATAGTGATTGTTAAATAAATAAGTTAGTTGGGGTTTGAATGGTGAGACTTTCAATGGCTAGGATTGGTAATAGCTTCTTTTAAAAAATAATTTTTTATTTATTTTTTTAACAGTAGGTCTTATTGGTTATCTACTTTAAATATAGCAGTGTGTACATGTCAGTTCCAGGCTCTTATGTCTAGATTAAGTAATGGCTCCTTTAGAATTTAGATGGGAATAATACAATAATATATAAAGAGTATGTGATCACTTTCTAAGCAACCTAATGAAAGATCCATTCAGTGTATATGTATGTATTTTTTGTCCCTGGATCTCTAAATGGTTGCCAGTTTAAGAGATACAGAGGGCAAG